TGACCCTGTCCGGGACGAAATCAGCAAATATTCAAGTTGATGACCTAGTATCGGTTCATTGTTTTAAACAAAAGCCAAACACTCGTCTACCTCGATACATTTTCGAGTTTGCGCCATGTATAAAGAACAATGTATCGATGCGGCCGATAAAAGTTGCATCAAAGAGAGGAAAAATCGCAGTATTTTATGTTTTGTTTCAATTAATTGAAAAACTTTAGTGAATAGCGACGCCGAGCGACATTCGACAAAACATTAGTCGCATTTTGTTCTTTACTCCACGATGTAATGTATTTTTAAAACAGAAGCTTTGAGAAGATTGTTTTATTCCTTTGTAAAAGCCACGCCAATACACAAATTCAACGAAAAACTTTAAGAAAATAGATTTATGAATTAACTTAATAAATCGCATAAACATGCCTCATACTCTTGAATCCTACAAGCAACACCACAGAACTTGCTGAAAGTCTTCCTCAAAATGTATTATACAGACACATTACAAATGCAAGCTTTGTCTTGTTTTCAATATTTATTTAAACGATCGATTGCACTCCGGCACTCCGCACAAATTTATAATTAAGTAACTCGAGCATTGCTAACAAAATATCGATGCTGAAAAGATTCTGATACAAAATGTAAGCTCTGAATTAAACATCGGGTATCACGTGTAGTTCCATAATGCATGAGGATATGACAATGTAATTCGCTGCATATCTCTAACGCGGAAAAGTGATGAAACGCCTGTCAGTCTTTGTGAAAGTAGAAATTCGCGTGATCTTCGCTTTGAAAAAAATTCATATCTACTGTTTATCTATGTGTCCAAGATTCTTGTGCAATTTTTTATACTCTTTCTTTTCAATTACCGTCACGGCGATAAAGCAACTCCCTCAGGTTATCCCTCTACTCTCACCTGGATATCCCGGCAAAGTCGTCTCGAGATGTCCAAACAATGACGATGTTGTAAAAATAAAAGATCATGGACTATGTCGTGTTTGGTCAACTGTATTCTCAAGATACATCTCTAATCCAAGACCTCACCACTCCAACTGTGGTCTTGTTACGTCTACTTTCAACGCCTCTTGCTACCACCCGACAATGTCACATGTTGACAAATTACTCTACTTGTAACATACACTCAGGAAATGAATACGTTCAACTTTAATAATGTACAAGCGAATACGCCACATATTTGATATACCCGAGACGCGAATTCCATTAGGAATTACATTTTTCCTAAAGCCTCTCAAGTGAACAGATAAAATACGATTTCTTGAAAAGATTCCTCAATAAATCTGGACAACAATTATACACCTAATTATAAGAGTTTGAGTGTACTTTTCCATTAATCTCGGCTGTATTACCGAATAAAATCGCAGAGTTCTCGAAAACTTCATTAAAACTTAACGACTTAAACGAAACTTTGAAACATTTCCATTCTTCGGAGAAGTATACTTACTTCCTTTTATGATTTATCAGCAAAAGATCCGTGCAAATTGTTGCAAGGTTTGTTTAATTAAATTAATCTTTGCAAAAACAACTTGTGTTGTTAATTAGCTCAAATAACGGTCCGTCCGGGTCTACTTCATCAAATATTCATGGGATGACTTAACTATACGGTTATGACTAATTGAAATAAAAACCTCATTCAAGGTGCTCAGATTTTATATATTCTGCTTAATCTTTGTACGAAAAAATATAAGAAAAGAAAGCACAAGACGTAGCAATGGCTGTAGCAACAATCCCAATGTCTTGTTTTGAATTGGAAGACATTCTTTTCAATACCATTCGCTCTGCGCTTTCCCGATTTAATAATTTACCTAGCTTTGTCCACATTTTGACGTCCGTCACGGTGATTGAAATTCCGACAAAATTTGTCCAACTTTTAACCGTCCCAAATCTCCAGAAATCAAATTATTCTGTTGCCGGTAGTGTTGTAAGAGACAACCTCGATTTACGTCAAATTTAGACTGTCGAAACGACTTTTTCTACTGATAAAATGAAAGCTCAACTTTAATCAAAATGATCTAAAAACTTCACAGCTTGCTCAAAATTCGGAGCAACAACTTCGCGTACATTATAATTATTACAGTTAATTAAATTGTTCGACTAAAGAAACATCAAATAGGGGTAAAATTCAAATAATTATAAATTATAATTAATTTAAGCATTCAAACTAACATTTAATTTAAGCCATTCTTTTACTAAATGTCCTCTCGAATTATCAACAAAGCACTAAATAATTCAAAAGGTTAAGTGCTAAATAACAAATTTCATTCAGTTTGTAAACTAAGCTCTCCAATGTGACACCAGAAACCATCAAAACAAATCAAACGGTGTCAGGTGTATAATATCTGTTTACAATAGCTTTTGCATGAGAGAAATGTTGCAATTCTAGACGTCGGAATGCTAAAAACGCATGAAAATGGAGTAATAAATCAACTCGAAGCCTTTTTCAACTCCGTGTGTTGTATAAATATAAAATATACCATTGAGACAGAAGAAAAAAGATGCTGTTTATGTTTTTATTTGTTTTTAATAAAAATAACAAATTGTTCATTTCAATTAAGATTCGAATACAACGATAAAATTGTGAAGAAGCAGTAAACATTTTCTGAGATTTTAGAATAAATAAAACTTGTGTTTTAAACTCGAATAGTATATTTTGTAACAAGTTTAGAATATGGCATATTCCGCACAATTGGACAAGTTCTATGAATATACCAAACGAGTTTCATACTATACCTTTTCTGCGACTAAAATCAGAAATCTTAGCAACTGTTGAGATGGCGCCATCTGTAACCATTCTAACACTAATGTGAAAATATTCTCGCATAATGGTACAGAATATAACTAAGTCACTAGAATCACAAAAACAATTACCTAAAATTGATAATAACATCTGTTTTAAAAGCAAACAAAGACAACATTATCAACTTTCATTGGGAAATGCCAGAGAGAAAGATGCATGGACATACCTACCTTGCTTATTGTCTCAAATGTCACAATGAAAAAACAATCCAATTTTTTTTCACAAGCCATTTGAATTTTTTTTTTTGTAAGTTTAAGTTTTAAGTTTGTAGAAGTGTCAACTGGCTCATTTTCGCATTATAAACCGGAAACTTCCACTTTCAGAATTGCAACGTTCAGCACAAGTTGGAAACAAAGCTGTAACTCTTCAACATGTAAACTGTAGCAGGTGTGTTTGTGCTTCCCGATTTAAAAACGAGTCCAAGCATTGACGGACAACTCATAAATAACCATTATGTGGCAACGACCGCTTTATGAACGAGTTACCGTCACCGTGAGGCGGCATTTTGCGAATGCTTTCAGTTCGATCGGAAAACATCTTGCATGTTGAATTACGCGTTTTATGAGAGAGAATCAAAGGGTTCGATCAGGCATCTCTCGTAATTTCGGATTATAATTAATTTTGAAAGCTCCTGAAAGCAGATGTGCGGACGAGTTTATCGCATCTGTCGCCATCGCTGAAATATTCGTGTTCTCAGGTGTTGCACATCATAGACTTTTGTTAGCGTTAAAAATTCCGATCGATACTGAAACGAAAAATGAAAAATGACATGAAAATTCCGGTTGATCTTGACCCTCATTGATTTCATTTAGACGGAGAGGATCATAGTGCGTTTTCACTTTGCCCTCTGCTGGAGTTAGATTATCATTAATCATTTTGAGACCTCTGCGACATCATTAGTAAACAATACGATCTGTATCTGGATAAAAACAGTTAAAACATTAATTAGCTCATTGTTTTGATAGAAACTTTCCGTTGTTATCAATCGGAATTTTCACGGACCGTTGCCTGATAATTAAAGCTGTGCCATCCAAAAAAAACTTCCTAATTAAGACACATGAATACTTCTGAGTTAACGGGCTCCATCATTAAGCTTGAGTATTTAGGTTATTAAATTAATCACCCCGGAGCTGAAAAATATGTAATACGCATCTTGGAAAAGTGAAAAAGGCACAAATACAATCTTTTTGTTTCCTTGTCTGATGATCCTATCAGCAATAAATGCTTCCATTATTGAAATGACACCGAAATAAAAAGCTATATATGTTCCAAATTGAATTTCTGAATGCTGACGCAAGTAGAACTAAAAATGTATCGCGTTTCTGTCGGAAAATACACTACTTATTGTGATCCGTCAAGTCGGAAGTTTAAAAAAATGCAAATATGTGAGCCAAGCTTGATTTTATTGTATCTCTGGGATAGACAGAAACATTTAGCAATCCGCACGTGTCCTTTCAAGTAAACGTTGACTTGCGACGCCTTCGGAATTAAGCACGTGCTTTCCATCGAGAAAAATATATAACACGTTCGTAAAGCGACTTTAATGTACATCACTCACACAAAACAAAAAGCTTTTCGATAGAGATGAATTTTACAACGAGCTTTACTAATATTTACACGAATTAACTGGTATGCGTGTCTTTAACCGTGGTGTTTAGGTAAAGCTTAAGTGCTAAACGATGTAAAGCCAATCCGACTTTCCTACATTTTTCACTCGATCAATTATGAATGACTCTAATTCTGTTTGAATTTTTCTCAGGATCCTTGACCGGTTTAACTGTCATCCCTTTTGTACGGATGTATCATTTATAATAAAAAAGCTCCTGCTCGTTCGATAACAGTAATAATAGCACGAGTATTATCCAAATAATTGAATTAACTTTTTCTCGTTTCCAAATCTAATTTATTTAAGTTTGCTTGAAAATCCGCTCCGAAAAAGAAATTTTCACTCGAAGCATCTCTGAATAAACCCAAACAGTATTCATTTTAATAGAACCAAAGGAAGTATTGAATAATATATCTAAAATTCCGTGTCTGGGATAGGTAAACACCTACACTCAAAAACGAGATTCTTTTGTAAACTTGTGCTGAAATCAGAAAAATACGTATTATTTCGACTTAGGTGCCCCATTTCACACTAAAAACATGTATGCGAATGTTTGCTGCCAATAAATTGGAATCAATCACTTTCCAGGAGTAAGGTAGCAGCAGCCCTGCTCAACAAACACCTGCAAATCAACGGAATATCGGCAGGGCTAACGGCGCTTCGTCAATCGGTAGACGCAGGACTCGAATCCGAAAAAACTCCTGATCCTGGAACTAGCAGCAAAATGAAACGCGAAAGAAAAGCTGCCAGGACTCTAGGCATCATCGTGTCGGCCTTTCTAGCTTGCTGGCTTCCCTTTTTTCTGTGGTAAGACACCAAAATCTTTGAGTTAATTACGTATCACAAAAACGTTTTTAAATCCGAGAATAATCTCTTTAAAAATAGAATCATTAAGCCGAAAAAAGCGAATTCCTACAAATCCAGCTCGTCGCTGGACGGAAATTATCTGTCCTTAGAGTAAATCCTACGATTTAATAAATCCCAGAATTGATAAAAAAGAATTACACCAGAATAAAATATGTACTAGACATAATTAAATCATTGGCTTTAATCATAAACTTTTCAGGTAAAACACTTTGACACGTTCGATAACACAATTACGTGTAATGTTAGCAAGATGCATGACGAGATTGAATTACACAGGAGTTAGCGAATCATCCAACCTCTAAAACCAGTAACGTCTTCATCGCTTAGCTAGGGTTAAACTAAGGTTTATTTAACATAATTTCGCGTCAATTTTATATCTCTCCGGTTGATAATTAGCCCCGAGGCACGCTTCTAAATGTTACGTTTGTTATCTTGAATTTCAGGTACGTGATAACGTCTCTATGTGGTTCGAAACGTTGCTACAGTCCCCCATCAGTGATCACTTTAGTTTTCTGGATCGGTTACTTCAATTCGGCATTGAATCCACTAATCTACGCCTACTTCAATCGCGAATTTCGAGTGGCATTCAAGAAAACGTTGCAGACTTGCTGTCAACTGAGTTCTAAGTTGGTCTGTTGGAAATGGCCGAGGTCAAGGGGCGATCATCAGGTGAATTACAGCAACGCGTCGAGCGAGATGCACGTTAATAACCATCTCAGGACTGACTTACGAGCCGAAGGTATGGTGCAAAGATTCAGCTATAACATTTCCGAAGGTGAAATTATTAATTTGCAAAGTGAAGACGCTATTTAAGCGTTGAGGTTGTTCTGACATATCAAAGGAACTCGAGTGCATAGGAGGTAAAGTGTATAGTTGTTAATTAATTTTTTTTCCAGTAAAGCGTCTTAAAGTAAATTTTTATTTGATCTCAATTTAAATCTTCTATGCACTTCTTCCGAAGAGAACCAGTCAATAAATCAATAACACGGGACTATCATTTTTGAGTATACGATCATTAATATTTGATAGTTGAATTGAAATGGTTTATTTATTAGTTTCTGTGCCAATGTTTAAGATGATGGACACGTAGCATGGCGTCTTAGTATTTAATAAAGTTTTGATTGACGAAACAAAGCACAAAGTTGTTGAAATTCAATCTCTGATTTAAGGCGCATCACCGTATACAATTAACAAAGAAGACAAGACGCTTGTAATATTTCGACGTAATACAATTAAGCGACTTACACGTTTGTTTACAATTCCGCTTATTTCACTTTAAATTTTCTTTCGCTGAGTTTTTCCGACACTTACTCGCAATGTTATAAAATATTAAATCAGTCCTATTAGCGCCTCATCACATATCAACATTGTTTCGAAACTAGAAATTTTCTGGCCCCCAGTTCGTAGTTACTGAGTCTCGAGAGTGTTAGACATTAAGTGGTGTTTCAAAACCGGGGATCCATTAAGCAGTCTATTTTACCGAGCCAGTTATACACTCATAATGGCTATATTAGCATACCAAAAGCACGTGGAGGCCAACCACCAACGCGTACACAACATCCCCGAATCGTTGTAACAACAAACTTATTACAATTAAAACCGGAAAGGACTCGCTTTCGGGGAAAAAATATTTTCCCACCATATAAATTGGTTACGTTGTCAGTCATAACATAAGACGTATTAAAATAACGTTTGTTGATGACGTTGAAGTGACGTCTGTGAACGTCATTTATCGACCATTCATTGTCCTAGTGACCACAATTAAACCATCCTTCCTCAACCTCAACCTTCAACAGTTGAACAGTTGAGAGGCATCATTTTTCATCGATCAAGTTCCATCTAAGTAATTAAAGTTATTGTTAACATCAAAAGCATCTCCATCATCGTCGATTTAGTTATCAAACTTGGGTTAATATTCGAGTTTCTGTTTCAATGAAAATGTCGATTGTTGAGACTAGAGGTCAGGTCACGCGTGACAAAATATAAGGCTCAAGGTGGTGGGTTACGGTAGCATGCGAACATCATTATGGGCTTTACGTTATGATTTAGTGCTATAATACCTGTCCGAGGAGTTTCCTTAAAATGCCTTCTCGTCGAGAACGTGCTCGTATTAATATTTTAATAGAGCGCGATCCCCATCGATTGTACTTTAACGCATTTATAGAAAAATTGATAGCGTGACCGAAATCGTTACTATTATGATCGATTCCGTTTAAATATTTATAAGGCCGTGGACTTGATGGCAACTGAAACTAATAAATAATCCATTCATATACGTTCTATACTTAGAATAGACACTTTGAGTGGTTGTCGGAGCTTCTAAGTTGTAAAAAACTATCCGTTACCTGTAGTTGTTTCATATCAAATATAGAAGAGAAAACGACCAAGACGAGAACAATCCATTAGAAGTATTTTAAAGCTAAGTAAAACTCCAATCATTGTTGTATGATAAACCCTTTAATAAATGTAACACCAACAAAGATAGAGAATGTAACGTAACTACAGTGTACAATCAAAGACGTGTATCTAAAAAGTACTTGATTTAAGACTTTTCAGACACACTATCTTGTTTTTTTCGTTTCATGGACGGTGCAAAATGGTATATAAATATTAAAAAAATACCATTTTGTCTTACCAACAACTGTTAGGTGTATCGTCATACTAAACGTCCAAATAATAGACATAAGACCTAATGTATATGGATTGTATCAAATAATAACGACCATATTATTTCACTTTCTGACTCAGCAAACATTAAACCCATCATGATTTGTAATAATACCTTATAAATTTGTGATACACAAATAAAGCAATCGACTTATAGAAATTCATTTTTGAATAAAAGAAATGGTATTTCGTCATTACATAAAAATTATGTACCATTTGGTTTAATTGCCAAGTGCATTTATGTCGAAAATGTATTTATTTTTAAATAAACGTTGCTAAAGTTAAAATCGATATCGTTATTGTAAGGGTTCCTATAAACAAACCGCAATTAAAATTAATTGCGGCCGCTATAGTCCCGAAAACATTTTTCTTTTTTAGAAAATGTCTTGTCGAATTTGTAGGTAATTTGAAACCTGTCATGTATTATTATCAATACGTATTTTGTGTTGAAAGTCAAAATTCCACTTGAAATGGAATTCTCGTTACCGTATATGTATCTCAAGCCGAGAGATTTAAAATCTATTGCAAGCACTCGTCTACAAATATTAGCCGAGGAACTAAACCAACTACAACCAAAACCACAAGCCTGAATTATCACTTTCCTCACTCCCGAGAAAAAATTACTCCTGGCAAAAATTGATGTCTCGTAATATCCAATCGGAAAAATCGAGACCATTCATCTTAAAAAGTATCATTCTTTTTGCGAGATAAAACCTAATTTTGTATTTACAATCCAACGTTCAGAAATAAATTCGCGACTTTGGATGAAAAATCTCCCACCGAAGTGCTAATTCACCAGCAAACTCGAGTGAAAGATGGTGCGGAACAAGACGCCATTTTAGTCGAAACGGCATTTCTATGTCCGTTTCGGTGCTTCCCTTAATAATTTATCGAGGAACTTCAGGTGCTGGAATATATTTGTAATAATAGTTGGGCTGGAGGTAAGGGCTGGAATTTATAGCTCAGACTGATCGTTCGTTCTTGCGTTCGAACGCACTAGATAAATTTTACATTGGATCCACCTCGAGGCGTCTCGATTCTAATAAAGCTCCTGTTATTAATCTTGTTAATATCAACAAAATGAGATAGCTTTAATGCGATTTAGCACAGCAAATCGTCCCGAATTAACTACTGCGATTACTTTACCATTTACAAAACGAGAAACTTGAAATTTTATAACCCGAAATTTAAATTAAACATATAAATTATATAAAGTGGTACGAAATAAATATTATATTGCGAGAATCGTGTTATAAATAATTCAAAACTAAAAGAGAAGAAACGTTCTTAAAAATTGTATTTGGTAGGTCCAATGTCTGCCAAGTGGGAGATGTGACGAACACGGAATAATTTTATATTTCACATACTAAAAAAATTGTATTGTTGTAAATTTTTAATATACATTTTAAAATGATGACGCGGAGCTGAATGTTCTTGTTTAGTTATAATTAGTACATTAGTAAAGCTTCGTCAAGCAAAAAGCGATAACAGAAAACAGTAATTGTTCGAATAGCACAAAATAGAATTGATTTTGCCTTCTTGTTGAATATTTAACCTATCTGTATCTCATTGATAGTCTAATTAGACTTACTCATAAACCAGCTTTCAAATCCAGTTATTTCAAGTTGTTTTTAAACCAAAAATGTCATTGAAAGTATAGCTACGTTTTTTTGTAAAGAAAGAAGCAAAATAAATAAATAATCGTTGCCTTCAAAGAAAATAATTTAAACTGTCTTGGATATTTCACAGTTCCAATTTAATTAAAACGCAAATAAATGTATTACCAAGTGAAGTTTAGAAGCAATTTTCAAATTAATCATTTCACTAATTAATTACTAATTAATTGTTACTTCCACAATGTTAAAAATCGCACTGCGACGGGGCGTCATGTATTAATTATTAACTGGTTATTGTGTAATGTTATTCATCCCACTTTGGGTCTGAGTTATTAAAGGGTAAGTGGTGAAGGTCACTATTAAAAAACTTTTCTGTGAAAACAATTCTTCATTAAACATCTGCCATGATTTTCATAATTTAATGATTTTTACTTGCTGTAATTTACATGATTGGTCAATTGAATGAGGTGAGGAAGCTCACTGTTTTGACCAACTTAATTAAAAATAGTTTTTTTTTGGATTATGTTAAAAATTATTCGAATTTGTTTTATTGTTGTCGAAAATGACAAAATAAAAATTTAATCCTTCAAATTACTTTACTTTGTGGTATTTTAGTGCAACCAGTTCCTAAAAAATTTCAAAACTCCTTGAGCTTACACTAAGTTGATTCTTTTGGCAGTATCTTTAAAAAAAAAACAAAGTAAATAATAGGTATCTAGAATAAATTATACTTATGTTAAAAAAATTAAAAACAACTTTGCTTAATAGTTATTTTCGATACAAGTGCGCTGTCAAATTATTTTTCAGGTCTGAGACCGAATTTTGCGGCACGAAGCGAAGCTAAGTGCTTCAGTAGAGGTCGAAGACCTGAAAAATAAGACAGCGCACGTGTATCGAACAACATTTTTCATAATCGTCAGCGAAATTTCATAAAAAAACGTGAATTTATTGAAAATTTTGAGGTTAATTTTGACAGATGTCAAATCAAGTATATAAATTGAAAAATTTATACTTAGTTATATACCACTCTTCGTCTTATGTATCTAAGGGAACGATCATGAAATAGTAGATTATGTTATTAGGAGTAAAAGTGATTGATTTAACTGGTGAATAACTGGTGTAGTTTATAGTGCAAAATGTCGAATGCTGATAATCTACCTTGTACCTCTCTAGAAAATGCTGAAAAAACGAAAGAGACAACAGTGGTAAATGTCAAAGTAAGTGTCAAGTAAAATTGAAAACGGCTAGGCGTAAAAACAGTGTTTTTACTCCATGTCTGAAAAGTAAAACTTTTAACTTTTCATTTAGTCATAAAAGTGGTCACTTTTGTGACTTTTGCGGATAAAATATATTTATTACTTTATTAGAATAAATAATGTTACAATCGTTTTGTCACTGATATTTCAGTTTTATCTTCCTGTTGGCAAAATCTACAAAAAGATATATTACAGTATTCTGTTGAAACATATGTAAAAAATTCTAGCTTTGGTCCAGAAAAACAACTAAAAAGTCGGCATCGAAAATTCGAATTATTGAAATTTCAATCAACTGGAAACTGTAGAGAACTTAAAACGTTCAAATATTAAAAAATCTGTTCATTTGTTTTCTGAAAATCAATATTTTCTATATAAAATATTGTTATTTTGTTCATTTAGTATTTGTTGATGTGTACATGCATTCAAGTGATAAAAAATAAACGCGAAATTATCACTTTGCAGTTTATTTGATTGTAATAACCAATAAACGTTTACAAAACTCTTGTAATTGCTTTGCTCGGCTGGCTATTTCTGCTGCTTATTGATTGCTTTCAGCTCGTCTTTGCAGAATACTATGTGCAGTCAGAATTGTACATTACCATTGTACTAAATATACAATAAGCATACAATACTTAATAAGAGGATCACAGTTCGATTACGTCCTCTTCTTAGTAACCAGATCGCATTTACTTGCAAATTTTCCACAACGAGTAATCGCAGAGCTCGTTAAAAGTGATGCCACGCATAATACAGAAAAGGTCACGAACCGAAACTCTTCACCGCTTTTTTCTTGATTAATTTCAAGCGCGACGCAAATAAATTTGAATATTATTCATTGCACGAAAGAAAGGTTTCCTGTGCAACTGCAAGTGTAAATTGGAAAAGGGACAACCGGGAGAGAAAAATAATTCGTAATTTAGAAACGTTTGGGTAACTTTGTTTCGAGGAATGCATCGATACGTTCTAGAAGTTGAACGAAACCTATAATCCTGTTTTCTTTTGGAATTGTCCGGCAAGTTATGGTTCGATTTCCTGAGTGCTTGACTTTCGTCCTTGGTAGAACTAATAATTTGTTATATGTAGTAACTTGGAAGTTTAATTTGAGTATCTGGTGTGGACAATATGAAGCTTCAGGGTAAATTCTGAGTCGAACTTGTCATGGAAAATAATTTAATCCCGAGTAAACTCTAAAATAGTTAAATGCCTTTAACAAAGATACCGTACTCAAACATCTGTGTTTTAATAAAACAGTTTATTTCACAGCTGTCTGCTATATCTTCACCAGAAGTTAATTTAACGTTGTTTCATAAAAAGACGTACAATTTGTGTCACTACCAGGTAGTAAAACGTGATTCTTTAAGCAAAGCCTTTGAATGTAGTACACATATTGAAAAGTGGATTTAAAGCTTTGTTCACCTTTACAAAAGTCAAGTCTAGTGTAAAAGAAAAGTTTTAAAGTATCGATGAAGCCAAAGTAATGCGATAAGTCTGTCCTGAAGTGAATGTCAAGCCGACTCAGATATATATTTATTAGAATGCGATTAATATAAATCGTGGCTGTGATAAATGTCCCACCCAAAAAAAGATCTATCAGCAAATAAAAGAAAGAAAAATCGTCTGGCGGCCTTGTTACGTGTGAAGACATAATTTCATAATGAAAGAAAGTTGCTTAGACACCTGAGGCCATTTTCGTGTCGACTTCACCCGCAAGTTAATTGATTTTATCATTTACCTGATAAATGCAAGTCAATAAAGTCGACTTCTTGCGACAAATCTTATGTTAAACGAAGCATCTTCAAAAGACGCTTTTCTGCTTACCTGACAACGACACGCATAATTTTCATTAGACGCCCCACATGTACGTTAAATGTCAAAGCATCATGGAAATTATGTACCGGCATGGAGCTTTTTCATAGAGAAAGAAGTGCAGATAACGGCCCAAATAAATTATTTATGACGACTTGAGCTATCTATTGATTTTTCACAAATTGCGATTTAATTGTTACCTATACCGACAAGCCAATCAACTCAATTATCAACTCAAATGCATAAAGCGACGACCACATTCAAATTTCAATTTATTTTAAAATAAATCAATGTTTCAAACAGCTCAAACTGATTAGTTCCTTGAGCTGATGGACCTCATAACATGACTTAGGTAATTTAATTAAATGGTCGCAAACTTATCTTTTCACTCTAAAGTTTTTGGACAAGTTAGTCCTGCCTCTAGTTCACAAAGGACAAACTTCACTTTTACAACCATTTAGAGTTATTTAACAAGCCGACCAAAAAATTTAGTCATCATTTTACCAGTAAAGTTGTTAGTAACACAAATTCAACATATATGTAATTCTTGTAATGCCTGGTATACCCCGAGGATCTCATTATTTTGTAAACCCCCATTATTTCTAGTTTATATAAATATTATAAATTAAGTTCTGTAAACAACAACAAATTAAAAACTATTATAATTGCTAATAGTCGTTGACTTAAGACAAACTAAATGTAGTGGAAATTTCATTTTATACAGCGCTGTAAAATTTCGCTATAGAAATAATCTCATTTTATTTACAATTTTAAAAGATCACGTTTTGCATTTTTCGCATTAAACATTCAATTTTTCTTTTCTTTTGAATTTGAAGTTATCCTTTGATAAAACCACTCATTCTGCATCAACTCTGCCGTAAATATTTTTTGGTGTTTCAGAGGTTAGTTTGCGTGGTAAGGTGGTCCCAAATAATTAAAACTCGAGTCGAATTTGTTAAAAGTTTGTAGTTCAGACTTTTAAAACAATGTTTGAAGAGAGTTAAATTTTGACTCGAAGGATGACGTAGGCTACGTTGAAAAGGGTAAGAATATGTAAAAATATTCAGAAGAGGATTTATTCTAATGAAAATTCTTGTTTTCTTTACTAAGCACCTTCAAACATAAGTTTTACGAAAGACGTTAGTGAATTTATTTACAACTAATAAGAAGTTTGGTCGACATGTAAGTACACATTATTCAGTTTGTATATGATATTTTGCTGATTCATCTGGGAATTCTGAAAGCCTTCTTTAAAAGCACATTATCCACCCACTCGTTCCACAAAAATAGGAAGCGTTGTCGTGTCCCAACTGAAGAAGCCCCAATTAGGCCTATTGTTTCCTTGGAAAACAATAGCCTCTTTTTAATATTTCGTGTGTATAAAACATTTTGTCGTCTCCTCGTTTCGTTAAAAATTGAAAGAAAGAGTGAAATAGCGTGTCATCTCTTGGTGACAATGAGGTTATTTGCAAAGCAGCGGTGAGCTGAATTCGAGGGTTCCGGGAGATAAACCAAAGCGAAATAACAAGAGGTAGATTAAGCCGGTTGAGGTTCCATTAATCCGTCCAAGCAGTTGATGGGTTTTTCGACGTCGATTTATCCCAATCATATTTGGTGGTGTGATGAGAGGCGATGGGGCAAAAGTTCAGAAAGGGATGACTTATTAATTCGACACGATGGAGTAATTAGCGTCAAGTTGGCGTTGCTGAGGCAACGATGGCAATTCGGCCCTTCTTAGACGTGCCTCTTCCCGTAGCCTTAATGAATTATTTTAATCGTAATCATGAAAGGATCATTCCGGATGATTATCCGGAACGTGCTGGAACACGTGTTTCCGGTTCGTTATGCCTTTGTAGCGACTATTTACAAAAGCAAAGTTTTCTATTGTCAAAACCGCGCCACAAAAAGGATGTACGTGTTAAGAAATTGAAATCGAGATGCATCCGTCCTAATGAAAGGCCTCATTACTTTTGTTTGAACTGGTTTCATCCGAATTAACTTTATTTCCTCCGGTATCGGTTCAATTGCATTATCACTGAATAAATTCAATTCCACAACTCATTTTCAGCAATTCCGACCCGGCATAATCTATTCAAATTACGCTTATTTCAAGAGAAAAGATTCCTCCCATCATTTCAATATTACAACGGCCTTTTACATATCGACCTAAAATAACGCATTGCCGCTTCGGGATTCACTCTCCAAACTTTACTATCCAACAATTAGCCTATTCCGTCGTGAATTTCACTTTGGAGATTAATTTTTAAACAAATTTCCTAAACTCTCAAAGTTGGAATGTTAATTAAACTCCAACTTTGCGACTAGAGATTTTTCAAGCACACATGTTCAGGAGTGAATTATTATATCACAACTTTCGGGTGTTTAATTTCTCAAGGAAGGATAATAATCTCTCAACCAAAATCATAACTGATGCTTGCGCGAAGTGGGACAGATTTCGCGAAATACATCGAATCTGGGGATAAACGACCGTTACGGAAGTTAATTTTGACAGTCGCGACAGTGACAGATACCCCCCAAAGTGCTCTGGAAGATTGTTTAGAACTTGATAATCTCTAGGGATTTGGAAAGGGAAAAAAAACTCAAACTTGTCGTATTCTCTATTAAATAAACCAGCAAAACAATAACAATAACACGGAATGTTAATTGACTTTTTTCGTGAAATTAAGTACTCCACAGTCTATCAAATAATTAGGAAAAAAAAATCTAACGATATGATTTTACTCTAGATATCACATGTAGATTCTAAAAAGCTTTGTGCCTTCTTTAATCGATATTAAAGCTTTTAGGTAAGTAGTCCTGTAGGTAACCTACGACGCTATTTTACACGTTTCATTCTACCTGAATAATACTGAATGAAGGTAAAATGAAATAATAAGTTATCTGTAATGAAAATCCACAATTTTCCCTTATGGCCACGCGAATAGACATCAAAACAGTTTTAATCAATTTTGTTACGGAAGCGCGACCATTAATGGTGTCCAACTATATCAAAACACCAGATTTATGATTAAAATTCAACCTGACATCATGAAAAAACACGAATTAATTGACACAAGCGGGCAAGAGTTTTTATTGGCAAAAAATTTTGTTACTTATAATCAAAGTATCAAAAATAATTTAATTCAATTAATATACATTAAGAGCTTTTAACTAATTACCAACTTGAGTGTTCTCTAAACATACACCAAATTGAATTAATGCATATTTAAGTGTTTCATTTGAATGGATCTTGTAATCAATTTCAATCAAAAACCCGAAGTTTAAAAAATGCATACCCAATTTTATTAGAGTGTCTTTCTGAATATTCGATTTCACTTGGTGTCAAACTTTAACCTACAATAAATAAATAAACATTCAGGAAATAAACAACAATCACATAAAGATAACAAGGCCTCAAACTCAACCAAACCTAAATCTACAAAGCTATTAATCTAGTCTTGCTATTTTGCCACTTCTCTTGCAACTTCCGGTGCTCCTCCATTTCCCTCTCGCTGACCCTCACCTGTCCCAGCTTCCTTGGATCCAGATTGGCGCCCAAATTTTGCACGCCTTTGGCAAACTTACTTAACGGCGAAAAAACCAAATCTTTCGCACTCGAAACCGGACTTGCAATATTACTCAACTTGTTTCTTAAAGCCGACTCGCTTTGCGACTGTGAAATATTCAAAGCGACGTCATAATCAGAATTTGAACGTTTGTCAAATCTCTCCGCCGGTTTAGAGTCACTCTCGTCGACTTCCCCCGATGAGTGACTGAATTTCTTGTCGAGTTTGAGCGTGTTAGGAGGCTGCTTCTTATCGAATCCTTCCGAATTGATTTGTATCTCAGGAGCGGGATTTTGGAGGGAAATTTGCATGATGCTGGAAAGTTGGACATTGTCGACCTGGGAGGAGTCCTCACGGGTCAAAAGGTTTTCTTTTTGCTCTAAAGTGGGTTCAATAGCGTCGCTAGTGTTTCCCATGACAATGCCGACGCTTGGCAGGAAGGTGTCTTCGGTGGCTTCGACGCCTTCCTCGACTTGACTTGTGGTAGAACTTGAATCTGTTGCGAAATGCAATGATCCGCTTTCCGTCGAAGCGTTTGGTTGGAAGATCGAGTTTTCGTAGTCGTCGTCGGTGTCACTGGAAGACTCCTTGTTCGTGCCGATTGTGAAATTGGCTTTCTTTAACTTAGATTTTTTGAATGTGCTCCCAATTTTGTTCAATTTGCTGAACTGCTGGGTCATGTTTGAGATTGCTTTGGTGCCTAAAACTCGGCTTTAACGAAGTTTAAGTCAATATTGCCAACTTACCGACGTTTTTTAATGATAATAATTGACTTTCAGAGACGTTTCGAGTTATTTGAGGCAAACCAACGATATCTAAATAAATACTCCGACTCTCGTTATTGATCACTTTAGACTTTCTTCTGTCGAGACATTTGCCACAATTTAATGGAACTGCTGGTAAACCGCAAATATCCACCGCCACAACAAACGCCTCACAAATCGCTTTCAAAGATTCTACAAGTGACAACTTAACACTTGACACAGTAACACTTTTTACTACTCACCGACTTCCTCCTCTTCATTTTTTATCATGACCGCCATATTGTTAAAAAATCGGAGATTCGTCGATCTAAACATGTGATAATACCCACTTACGCCTTCCACTTTGTAGTTAATTCGTATACAGAATCGATTTTTAGCTGCTCGGAAAAGCGAAGCTCCAGCTTCGGGGATCCCACACTCGAGCAAACTTATATCCTGTAATAAGACTCTTTGGTATTTAGTAACTTTGTCGACTTGGTCATCGTAATCTGCTACGAAATACGAGTCTTTGGTAAGGATCAAAATAGAGTCCATTTCGGTTTCATTGGGGTCACCCGTCGAAGGGTCCGCATTTATCAAACCCCAAGAACCCAAAACCAACTCGGGTTGATTAATTAACATTTTTTTACAATCTTCAATTAGCAGTTTTACGTGCTCAGCGGTTGCCGCACTGTCTTCTTCAAATTGCTGCATTTTAAAATCGGTGAAATTATCTTCAGAAACAACATTGCCTGAAAAACAACGTAAGACTTGCTTTACTCAATTCAAGACTCACCCAGCATCAAATCGATTGTGCCTTGGCGAGTTGAGTCTTTAAATCGACTTAGGTAGTATCTACAATTAGCACAAAGTACGTTAGTAATAAAAACTCCAACGTTTTAGTATATTTTAATTAGATTAAAAAGTGACAACATTTAGTCTATTAGGTAAAACGAGAGAACAGTCCTTTAGTCTCCCTCAGGTTCCTGGACCTGTTTAAATATTAATAAAAGGGTCAAAACGTAAAAAAACGACTGACCTAGACATTTCGTACAAGAGGTTAGCAAATTCGAATTCTTGTTGAAGGGCGATTTGAGGTGTATAGGATGGAGGTTCATCAGGAAGGATTTCGCTTGCTATACACCCTACTGTCTTTAAATCAGTCCAAAAATCTTGAATTTCGATTTCGTTCAAGTCGACTCCGTGCATTATATCTAAGCAACATTGACGCACGGAGTCTTTAAAATGATTTTTGTAGTATCTGTGCAAATTTCATTTTATTCGAGAAGTTCCGTAGCTAAAAACTGACCTGTTTGCTGAGTTCATGCCATCTTTCATAATGCCAGTAAATTTCCTCTCGCCGGTCCTAGTATAATCGCCCTAAAAGCACACAAAGTCGTTTAAAATAAATTTCACCCACAAAAAAAAATTAACAACCTTAAGAGCATTAGTCCCGGCGTATTGCTTGCTGATAGTGTCGCCGTTGTTAGCCCACAGTAACTGGAAAGTGTTTTTGATGTTGTTAGGCATAACACCCTCAGGTGTGATCAAGCCCAATTTGCAGAACTGCATTTCCATCACAGCCTTACCTATAGCCGTCTATCCACAATCGTTAATAATAATTAACAACGAGAATCCTACAAACCTGAACAACGTTAGTCCGGTCTAGACAATCAATACAATTCACTCGAAAAACGCCGTTTTGCGAACAAATATGTCCTTGCTTATCCCTCCAACAATAATTCATGTCTTTGATAACATCGGCTAGTGCGTTTATCAGAATCGAGACGTTCTCGAAGTGCATACCTCGACTTGAAAAAAATAAAATTAATAAAGCTTCACTTTGTAAAGACCACTCACCAATATTCGTGAAAATCAAACGTGACATAAGTTATAAAAGGGCTGTTAAAAAGCAAAATGTAATTGGAGTAGACATCGAAAATTATTTTTTCTTTGCCGGTCTGGTCGATGAGATTGATGGCGCAGACAGGGCCGTATTTTTGGATTTCGTGTGAGAAATGTTTCTCGAATGCGACTTTCGTCTCAGCTTCCCCTTTGTCGATCCTGGGCGGAGGGCGATATTTATATCCCGGCTGAGACCAATAAACCGGAACTGATCCTCTGACTTGGACAAAGGACACTTCATGGTTTTGGTAAGCTACCAACTGTTCCGTTTCGACGTAATTGGCACATTGGCCATCTTCATCGACGCCTCTTCGCTTGAACCTAGTGCCGGCCCTGAATCGGCTTCGACGTGACAAGATGCACAATGTGAAAATTTCGTAATTTTTTCCGGTGTTCGACTGGAATTCTTTGGGTAGGTCGACGCGGCAATTTTCAATTTGGATGTAGCCTTGAATAATCGGCAAGATCCAAGGGTCACAGAGAGGGTTCTGAAACGTTAAAACTCCAATTTGAAAGCTTTTTAAAAATTATTTTTTTTTACATTAAGTTCAATTAAATCCTTCAACATGTGTCTGTTCCAAAAAAACCGGTCCTCAACTGTTTTCCACAAAGCTTTCGGATCGATCAAATCTTGCTTTTCCAAACAACACAACCTTTGTAGCGAATTAGTCAAATCTGTTGTCCTCGAGAAATAAAACGAATTGGTGTCGGTAAAAATCTTGTAAAACTCTTCAATAATCTGCCTTTCGAACCGCTCCTTATCCTTAAAATCCCTCCTTTTTGGCGTTCCAGTGGCAATAGCGGCGGCTTGTTGCGTGGTAGTCTTGATTGTATTTCCTGCACTCTTTAGCGTGCCCCACGTTTTCGTCAATGCGGCATTTTTCGGTATATCAAAAAGCGAATTTGTGTTTTTCTTCGCAGTGTTACTTTTGTGTTTAGGACATTGTTGCAGGTTGAGTTCGACGTTTTCATGGCCCAGAGGCAGAAAAACTACCGACTTGATTTTGTACACGTCATTCTCACCGTGTAATTTACCAACTGGAAGGCTTTCTTTGATAAGGAGGAGACGTTGGTCGAAGACAGACGAATGTTCAACTTTACCGACGATACCGTCACACAAACCGAGACAGATGGGGTCGTCAGCGTCGGCCAAGTCCCATCCTGCAACCAGAGATAAGCTAAGATGTGGCCTTGCGTCTAAAATATTTATTTCCGGTTTGAGTTGACGCAATTTTAGACTTGATAACGGCTAATGGGCGAGTTTTGCGTGCTAATGGTCACGGAACGTTTTGTGACATTTGCGAGTCAGGAAAATAAACAGGCAATAATAAAATAATTATTGTATGAGTCGACATAGGGTTCTTGGACATTGTTCACGATGGAAATTGATATAAGTCGCAAGTGGAAGCACGAAAGGGTTTCGGTGTAGAAAATAAAAAAAAAAAGTAAAATAAGTTAATAAAATACAAAACTAAATTTTATTAATAAAATAAAGCCACAGAAAATGAAATTGCATTCATCGTCCTCTGAGTTTTTTTTTATTGATTATGTATTTCTTATTTTAGATCCACCAACCACTTTGGAGTTGGCATTAATTATGTACAAACTCGACTATTGTGAATTCAATAATAGTTGTATTTCAGTAATGTTCACGAATAATTTTTTGAGTGACATCATAAGTCAAGTTAAGTCACATTTGACAGTTGTTTGACTGACAAATTGAGTCACGTGACTACAGAATTGGGTGAAGTACAGAGTGCTCTGGGATGTAATGCCCCACAAATTCGACGCAAAAGTAATTTCGCGGAAGAATACAAAATAACATGCGTGAAATTGGATCGCAAATGATTATAAATATCCGAAATAATGATGCATATCGTATGAAGTGGGCGGCGAGATAGCATCGTTGAGAGATGACGTTTTATTATGACATTGATGATGACAGCGCGGGTTTCCAGTCGCTGAATGATTAATTTGGAAATTCTAGGAAAAGCTGTATGAAAGTGTATTTTTACTTGTAGTACAATTTTCCGCTCTAAAAAATGTAATATAACCGCGTGCTCGTCAAATGAAATGATGAATTTTTAATGGGACTACGAGGCACAACAACCCAATTCGGTTAAATTCACAATTGATTAAATCAGAAAAAGGCAAGCGCCTCGATTAAATATTTCAAACGTCTCGTATTACATCACCGAAACGTCAAATGAAAAATCGCGTTTTTTACCTGTTTTCGGTATGAAAGCCCCGGTTTGTCGGTCCCACCATAAAGAATATTCACCACTAATAAAAATATAAAACTCGTTCGTCCTAAACAATTCCATAATCCTTCGAAAATACTCAAAAAGCACGACCACTTGTCAACACAAAACTGCACAATTTGTTGTCATTCTGTTACTCTAAACAAAGAGGGGACGAACACCAACACGTCGTCCCACTCTAAAATGTTACAATCGATGCTTGTACGCATGCGTAAAGCAGAAATTCGACCGAATTATTTCATTCAACCGAATTTTAGTGACGTCAGAACATAACAAAAACTGCTTTATGAAATTTTATTAAGAAAAAAATATTTATTACAATGCGTTATTGCCTTTGATTATTGCGTCGTTTCTTTGGCTTGTATTTCTCCCAATGTCGGTGGTTGATGGAGGAAAAGTCTGGGCAGTTTTCTGCTAAGTCTTTGAGATATTTTGAAAGCTTTAAAAGCTCATTGTCTTTGTCCCTGTTTAAGTGGGCCTGGCGAAAAGGACGAATTCGTAACCCGTTCTTTGGATTCATTATGAAATTCCTCCGAATATCGTCGAACATTATTGTGTTTTTTGCACTATACTGAGAAAACTTGCCCCAAATTACTCCCAACGGTTTCACCTATAAAAATAGTCAATTACTTGCAGTCTAAATTACATATTGTATAATTAAATTACATCCATCACACCATATTTGGGAGTGTGTACCGAGATCATCGCTAATGAGTCTAAATAAAAAGCGATTTTGTAATTAGTATTAGTTGAAACGCCCAAAAGTCTCATTTTTTCTTCAATCCACTTCATTCCAGTTGCAGACCAAATAACAATATCATAGTCATCATAAGCCGCAGTTAGAAACTCATGTAAATAAGGCCTCATTAATTCTGCACCAGTCTGAGCAGTGGATCTGTGATCAAATAACGTATAATCTATGTCTAAGACTAAAAGTTTTTTATCTGGTCTAGGTTCATTAATTATGTTTATTTTATATTCTTTAATCCTTTTCTCTATTTTAGCCAAATAAACATCCTGATTCTCTATTGCAACCTCTTCATCTTCTATATCTAAGTCATTTACAACTTCAGGCAAATCAGCTGGGGCTGTATTCGCCTCAACAATGTCCTCTTCCAACGACCCCATCATCATAAGTTTAAACCCCGGTTTCAGCTTCAATTGGCCTAATCTACACTCCTCATCGGGTGCTTTCCCTGCAAAACCCTTACAGTAATCTCAGGCGATCAGAGAAGCCCCCAAACCTTTCAGCTTCAAGTTGAGAAGCTTCTGCCTTTCAGGTCGCACTCCCGTTTGTTTCTCGATAGCATTTTTCAAGTCTAAGACCGTGTCGTTTTCCGTTAACTCAATTTCGTACTCTTTTCCGCTCCATTTCACGTATATTTTATTTGTGGCTTCCATCCTGTTTTTTCAGAAAACACAAACTTGACAGTTTAACAGGTGCTGCAACAACAATAAATAAAGACTAAAGAGGCCGCCACTACTTGACGTTTGTTCAACACATGACATTTGTAGGTTAGAATTACAAAAAAATAACAAAAATGAAACACGAAAGGTGTTACGTGTCTTGTAACTGCAATCAAACACCGACGGCGGCACACTGGGGTTCAAATAATTTGATTTGTTACGCCGCCTGTAACGCAGTTGTGATTTATGACCCAAAAGTAAGGTTATGTCACCTAACCTAGTACTGTTTTTTATTTTTTTTTTCTAGTGGGGTTCCGGTGGTAAGGTTGTAGCAAGTCTGGTCGGCCATACGAAACGCGTCAATTCAGTTAGATGGCTTTCGGAGGCGGGACAACCAAATGAGTTGGTATCAGGGGCTAGTGATCACACTGCCATTGTTTGGAGGTTAAATGACGGCAAATATGTCCCCTTTGTATTACAGCATGAAAGTATTGTAAATATAGTTGACGGGATTTATAAAAATGAAGGTGTGGTTGTTGTCACAGTTGGAATGGACTCTGCTGTGAAAATTTGGTTCAGAACAACTGGTTCAGGTTTTAGGGCACTCTATGTAGTGAAATATGGCTATAATGTGAATTTTAGATGTGTTTACGTTAATAAAAGACATAAATTGTGGTCACTCTATTTGTATAGGGGTTAGACTTTCGTTTTTGCCTCAAAAAGAATCTTTAATCTTAGCGTGTGGAATGGATACCTCCGCAATTGATTTGTATATTGAGGAAAATGAATTTTCGCATTGCCACACATTGAAGGGTCATGAGGACTGGGTCAGAGGACTCGATTTTACAACTGACGGTATTTTTTGTTAAGTTTAAACATTTTTTTAATATTTCATTGTAGGTAAAGATCTGCTTCTTGCGTCTTCTTCTCAGGATTATTACATCCGTTTATGGCGCTTTACCCCTCACTCAGATACTTCAGATCTCCACAATGTAATAAAATTAAAAAACGCGGCATACAAAGTGTCCCTAGACACGATTTTAACTGGTCATGAAGGCTGGATTTTCTCCGTTAATTGGAACCCCAAATTGTCCCAATTACTGTCATCTTCTCTCGATAAGTCAATGATAATATGGGAGTTGGACCCTTCTACTAATTTATGGATTGAAAAAGTCAGAGTCGGCGAAGTAGGGGGCAACACTATGGGTTTCTACGGCGGAGTCTTTAGCCCCGACGGCCAACACATCCTCGCTCATGGCTACAACGGAGCGTTTCACTTATGGGAAAACACTACTATCGAGTGGAAACCGTGTGTTACCATAGGGGGGCACTTTGCTGAAGTCACTGACTTGGCATGGGACCCCCAAGGGGAATTCCTCATGACAGTCTCTGCCGACCAAACGACACGAATACACGCTCCTTGGAGCGACGGTAAAGAAGTCACGTGGCACGAAATCGCGAGGCCCCAGGTGCACGGTTACGATATGAGTTCAGTGACGATTTTATCGCGGTATAGATTTGCGTCCTCAGCTGAAGAAAAAGTGATACGGACATTTGAAGCCCCCCGAAATTTTGTCGAAAATTTTGCGCGAATTTGTAAAATTACCGATATTATTGAGGGTGAATGTGCCCCCAAAGGGGCATCGGTCCCCTCATTGGGGCTCTCAAACAAGGCTGTGTTTTTAAGTGAAGAAGGTGATCAAGAGTCGCATTTTACGGAAGTGGCTCTTACAGGTTTGTTTTAAAATAATATCCCGTGATTGGATAATAATTAATTTTAGCTCCGCCCACTGAGGAGACGCTTCTTCAAAACACTCTGTGGCCGGAAATTCAGAAACTCTACGGCCACGGCTATGAAGTCTATTCCTTGGCGTCGTCTCCGGATGGTCGTTTTTTGGCATCTGCTTGTAAAGCGACAACTCCCGAACACGCCGCTATCCTACTTTGGGACACCTCAAACTGGAAACAAATCCAAAAACTTGTCTCACATACTTTAACTGTCGTCCAAATGTCATTTTCTCCTGACTCCGAACAGCTCCTTTCAGTGTCACGAGACCGCCGATGGTCTCTATTCTCGAAAAAATCAAACGATGCCTTCGAACTAGTGGCCACTACTGACAAAAAAACTTCAATCCACACAAGGATAATCTGGTGTTGCGGTTGGGCGCACGACTCGAAATATTTCGCGACGGGTTCACGGGACGGCAAAGTGGCCGTTTGGACGAAGAACGAAAACAAACAAGAAAAAAGCGTTTTAGGACTGTATGAAGCCGCCTCAGTGCACTTGGAGCTGAAAAATGAGTCGGTAACGGCGGTCGCTTTTGCACCAGACTGCGTTTTAGGGAGCTATTTGATTGCTGTCGGGTTAGAAGTCGGGGTTATTCACTGTTTCAAATGGTCAACAAACGCTTGGGAAAGAATTTTATTTCTGGATAAAAAGTTTGTCGACCGTTTCTTTGTTTCTTTTACTAATGTCATTTTTTCAGTGTTGCTCATCACTTGACCGTGAAGAGATTAGCTTTCCGGCCGGTTTTTGGCACAGCGGGTCAGACAAACGACGAGAAAGTTTTACAGCTGGCCAGTTGTGGGAGCGACAGCACTGTTATTGTACATAATTTTTTTATAAAATAAAATTTTGAAACAATGCTTTGTTTTATTTGGGTCGCGTCAGGGGTCGCATTAGGGTTTGTATTATTAAACCGGCGGAAATAAAATTGTAAAGCTGAAGTCAACCACAATAGCATTATAATTATCGATCGAGGTTCTGTTTTGATTACAAATATTGCGCATTGGTTAATATTGTGGGGATAATTCTGTTACTGATTTCAGAATCAACACAATTACGTCATAATCTACTCGTTAATTTATGTATGGAAAGCAAACCAAAATACCTATGTGCAAACAATCAGGACTTTTTCGTTGAATAAAAGATTAAAGGAGAGAGCAACAAGGAATTGCAATTGTCGTCAGCAGCAGGTGTAAGTATCCGGCTTAGGTGAGATTGAAAGAATCAGCATAAGCCACCTCAAGTTGGGTTGTAGTGGATTTATACTTTCGTCGTGGATGCCATCAAAAATTTATGGAATTATGCTTTACATGTTTTGTCATAGTTCTTTTGAAGTTTCTGACTTGAATTATAAAGCAAATGAGTGATCAAAGTAGTGTGCCTAGATCAAAAGGCAACAATATTATTGTTTGAGAGGCAGCCGCGGATTTAGGAGCCTTGGGCGCAAATTCGCTGTTTCACTATTCAGTTACAATAAATTTTCTAATGCAGTGTAGCTATCTTACGCAAAAAAAATTAATAAGTACTCTTCCTTAACATTTTGAAAAGGAGGATTTACCTCCGAAAATTAAAATTCAACAATTTCATCAGACACAAAAAATTGATTTTTTTTGGAACCATTTGATTTATTTAATTAGTTTTTTAAGTTACTTTGTATGTACGTTTTGATATGACAATGCAAAATAGTATCTTTGAAGATAAAGTACCAAAGTTTTATTTTATATTGTTCTATAATAAATATTTTGCCTTGTGATTAAATTGTGATGTAAATAAAAATTATCTATTGAAAAAAAGGAACAGGGCGAACAACAAACTGAATGAATGACCTCGTCTAAAGCCGGGGTAGTGGGGTACAGACTACTGTAATGTAATATGTTTTTTTTAAGGAAGGGGATTAAGTATTAATATACAGCTGCGCCATCAGTAATAAACATACTACATACAGGGTGCGTCAGAACTCGCGCCCCAGAGAGAAATGCCATGTAAGGTAGGATACCAGGAACATGAAAAAATGTTAAAAACGTTATATCTATAAAAATTTTGAAGTTATAAGAGTTTAAATTTTGCACTTTGACTCTCTTTATTTCTGTTGGAAAATAATTATCCAAGTTTTCTTGCTACAGGCTATTAGAAGAGGAAACAAGGAAGCTGTATCCTAAAATGTGTAACTCTGTTTAATGTTATTTGGGGCTTATATTGTCAAAATTTTTGTATCTATACTAAATAATTACAAAAAAAAAACCTATATAAGATTATCATCAGTATAATTAATAAATAGACATAAAAAAATTGTCAAATAGTGTGTTAACAGAAAATGTTACGAGTAGGTACCTACTGAAACATCTCAAGTAAAAAACACTCATTAAATTCAGTTTTTTATATGGGAATAATTTATTTCTGGCTCCTGATTTCTTGGTTCCTGGATTCTGGGCTCTGGTTATTGGTTTCTGATTTTTAATTTCTGGTTTCTGGTCTATTATTTCTAATTTCGGATTTTTAATTTCTAATATCTGATTTTCTAATTTTTGATTTTTGGTTGTTAATTTCCAATTTCTGGTTTTTGATTTCTGGTTACTAGTTTATGATTTCTGGTTACTGGTTTCCGGTTTTTGATTTCTGATTTGATTTAAAGTTAACAGAAACCAGAAATTAAAAATCAGAAACTAGTAACCAGAAATCCGAAATCATCAATAAGAAACCAGAAATCATCAATCATAAACCAGAAATCAGAAATCAAAAACCAGACATCAGACATCAGAAATAAAAAAAAAACAGAGATCAGAAATCATAAAAATTTTGGTTACTCTTTGTGAATTCTGTATTTTTTAAAATGGCAACCAATAGGTTTAGGTTCATAGTAAATAAATATTTTTTTGATAAAAATACTATAAATTCCAATTATAAAGTTTTATTTCTTAATCACAGACTTTGTCAAAAAAATATAGTAGAGTTAAATAAATTGGAAAACGATTATTTGACCAGAAATAGTTTAAGCAATAAAAACGCTTGGTTCCATACTTTTTGTTCAACCTGGAGCTCAGTTTCTTGAAAACTAATGATAGATTATAATTACACCTGCTTTAATTGCATGAATTTTAAGTTGCGATAAAGTATAAACATAATCTGTAAGTTTCATTTTATACAGAACACAATAACAAAGAATGATGGACTTTTTCGGGGCGAAGAGCGGGTTTTGGGCAGCGTCTCCGTGCGTAGGGTGCAGCTCCGAAGCTGAGGTCTCGTTTATCCGGGTGGTGGATGCTGTAAGCTGAGGGTGTGAGCCGGGCAAGGGTAGGGCAGCATCCATGGCGCCGTCGCGAAGCTCTCGAGACCGGGATCAGCGCACGCACTACGCGATGAAGCTTGCAGTGGTACACATCAGGCAGGGTGCGCGTCGTGCCTAATGCAGTGTCCGATCGCTCGCCTCTAAAACTATCCGACTATGGCTGTGAATCATGCGTTTAACACGTAAATCATGTTGTGGATATACTGTGGACTGGTTTTTCTGGCCTCGGCCCTGTTCGAAGCCGCTTTGGCAGTCTCAGTCACGTCTAAAAGAGGTAAGTTGACCCACACTTAACCTATCTTCGAACAGAGATGAAAAAGAGCCGAGGAGATAGATGGTGGAGGCGCCGGGATAACATTGAATTTTTCGCTCTTGTTTAGTCAAAGGGAAGAGAAATCTCGAGTTTTCCTTCCGGCGGTCTGTTGTTTAACAAACAGAGATTTTTTAATTAGTTCTGTTTGCAAAAGGCAAATAAAAGCCGGGGGAGCACCGGGACCTGTTGGAAACTTCGCTCGGAATAATATTTTAATCCTCAGCGTTACAGATTTAGCTCGACTCGGGATGATTGATGGGTAATTTAGATGCATGGAGGCATGCACATGCAATCGATGCTGCTAACAAAAATCCCTTTTGTCTTTATAAATCACAGTTATTTTCACCAAGAACGTCAATAAAATATTTCCAGGTTAATGTGTTGCTATAAGCGAAAGTGATCTCGTGTGTTTCCTCTACGCATTCATGAAATTGCAAAAAATTGCCTTTTCGACAAATGTCACATTCATAAAGTAGTCACGTAATGCAGAAATCGATGGCATACGTCATGAAATATGGATGCGAGATGCGCTCTAAGAATCGATCATGTCACTGTTAAAATATTCATGTTGTTGATGAGATGGTCCTTAAATAGCGACGGTGTTTACTCCAGAATTGCTATTTGCTCGTCGAGATGAAATGTTAAAGAAGCCTACTACTAAACGGAGATTTTCCCGATGGTTTTAGGCGGATATTTGGTTTGGGGAAAGCTGACGATCCTCCTGAAACATTCACAAACTACGGATAAACTTTCAATCGAAAAAATTGTTGAAGTGTTGCCAAGTTTCTTCTGAAATTATATCAAAACCGTTTTGTACAACTGGCTGAAGCAACTGAATAACATATCTTGCTTCGATGAATACACAGATTCGAAATTTCTGCCTGATTAAAGATTTCCAACCCGAATATCAAATTCTAAAAATATTACATCACAAACATCACGATTTCTATCTAATTAATAGCTCTTCAACTAACTCATCAGGCTTGGTATACAAGAAACAACAAAGAAACCACACAAATAAAGCATACTGTCTTACAAAGCAGCTTCAACTCTATAGTTTCTGCTTGACTAATTACTGTCTAGAACTATTAACACTAACAATAGCGAAAAAACGAAGACACTATTTTGTCTCTTGAATCTTGCTCATTTCTAACATTTATTTATCACGACTGTTTATTTATTTTTCTTCTGGTTAACAAAGAAAATAAACAACAATGAAACGATATGTTTTCTTTCTCACAAGAACAAAAAATATTGTGAAATATAAGCTTACGTTCGGATTACCAGAAAGATGATTTGATAGAAACTCGAGGAAGAATGAAATAAACAACCGCCCACACAACTCAATGAAAGCTTCAATTACATGGTTTACATGTTACTCAATTAAAAATCAAATTTTGACGAGCAATTGGGCCGCAAGTCGTAACTTTGTCATCAAAGGGCAATACGCTTTTACAATTCGCTCCAAGCTGTTGTGGTTGTATTAGCTAATACGTCGCCATAAATTCAGGCTTCGTTAAGTAGTTGTTGTTGTCGAGGCGGACGGGAAGTTGGCGTCTTTATTGAGTTTGATAACAATCAAACTACAAGTGTGACACTTTGTATGCTGCATGTGATGTAAACTTCTACCTGCACGCACATCAACTTGTTCTTCGACTTTATCGAAACTTTTATCTATCGTGCTTGTCGTAATAGCCAATTAACAAAATAATTGGATGTAAGGCAAAGAGGAGGTGTTGTCACATTTGGAATGAGCGATGTGAAAGAAAGTAAAGCGGAGGTCAAGGGTCGATCCGTCGATGATGTCGGTGAATAAATTACCCGAGTCTCTTCTTTCTTAATATCTCCACTAACAAAGTAAACGATGTTTGTTAGGTCTTAGGCAAATGAAGACAAATGAGAGACATTATTACCTTAGTTTGGCGAGGGCATCCGTCAGGGCGTTTGCTGACGTAGACGCTAAGATGCCCCTAGATGACTGCTTCATCTAGTCTCAATGTCTTTTGCTGACTGCTCAATTTGACAAATTAAAGTTATATATGTGTCATTATTGCGGCCTAGTCATCATTGAAGGACGCTTTCGTTGCCGAAATGAAGGATCAGCGCTTTGATGTTGTCGCTTACGTAATTAATGACGAGGATCACTTCTTCAACCATCGCGTTTGATACCTACGTTATATGACGACTTTTTTTAATCATGAAAATATGACACTCGTTTGGGTTGTATAAATTGGCAACAATTTTTTTGATTGCGTTGATGTTTTATTGGTGCATCCTGAACAATAAAAATAACAGTTTTTTGTTTAACAACTGGATATATTATTCGGTTTAATATTTTTGCGTCAAGCAACTATAAAAATATGGTACAAAATGTAGTTGTTTACTAATTAATTGCACTAAAATTTCAAGCATTTTTTCCTCACTGCCAGAATGTAGTGATAACGAGGCGAAAGCGAGGGAATTAAAACAATTCGAGGGCAAATATCCGCGACGATAATATTGTTTTTATGGAAACGAGGAGCAACCCCTAACGAAAATACCCCACAATCAATACTGAAAACTTTTAAAGCAAAACACAAATCGGGAAAACGTTGGCGTAGTCACCGAGACGGAGGCTGACATAATTTAATAAACTACCAAAAGTGCACTTCACGTAATACTCGTACCCTTAAAATAATTCCGTAGACTTTCTTAATTTTATTTCCAAAACACGCATCGCGTTTACTATTCCTTCGTTCATTAATCACTCGTACGACTTTTTTGCAGCGATTAATTAAAATTTAATTAATTGTTGTTTTAAAGTTCCGAAACAATCTCACCGTCAACTTATGGAACCAAATTAAGATTGCACACCGAAACATTTTCTATTTGCACTTTAATTATGAAAATAAAAGAATCGAACAAATTTAATTAAAGGGTAGATAGAGAGGCAGATGTTTGTTGTACATTTTTTATTATTGTTTTATGCCAATTAGGCTGATTAATAATTTTGTTATTAATGCAGTGGTGTAACAAAACGACGTCGAGGTCTTTGTGTCGCCGATGGAATAAAGCCAAGTAAATTTAATGTCATTGCGTTGCAATTAATCAATATGTCACATCGTTAGAAAATTGTGAAACATTTTTCGTTCGTTGGCGAACGCTTTGATTCAATATAGACGCAATAACGGTGAAAATTGTGTTATTTTCCGTCGTAGAGAAGTTTCGAAATTCGCATCCGAGACAATTATTTGCAAAACTGGAGCGCAATTGGAATCTAAAAACCTCCAGAATAATAAATGATGCTCAAAAGTCGAACTAAGGAGCAATATATTTCCGTAATGAGAATATCAACATGTCAACCGAAACTGATTGCTTTATAAACACAGGCTGGTTTCAAAAATAAAACGTCAATACGCACACCCACCCGAGCGTGAATAATAATTGTATAGCGTTAATTACATTCTCAGGTGATGTTTCCGTTCGTCTTTGATTAGTCGTCGGCGAGAGCTTTCTTTATCGTCATTGAACACAACTCTCTTATGGAAGAATTTCGTTCAAGGCAAATTTAGGACAAAGTGGGCGCAAAAAGCTCTGCAATTTTCACACAAAAGAATACCATATTCCCTGTTACTTTATTCTTTTTGTCCTACGCACGATTAGCTTTGTTTTGTGGGGTGGTCACCAGGTGCGTGGCAGACCCACCCCGTCGATCCCCATCTATATTTCAGATTAATTTTAATTTTAAAATCACCACAAATTCCCAAATCGCCTCTCACTCCACGAAATTAACTGGGATTTTTCAGTAGCATACGGGAATCCGACTCCCACCAGCTCCCCAATAACTAGCAAAGATATTTTGCGATTTTTAGGTAAAATACATGTTTTATCATAAAAAGAAACAATTAAAAGCAGCTTTTGTTGTCAAATGCATGGTTTGATTGCATTTGTTTTGTGAGGGAGCATTTTCGGTCATAAGAGTAAACACACACAAATAAATATTTTGTCAAAAACACCTTTTTATTTATTTTGTTTTTTATTATTAGATATACGAGTAGCAGATCATCTTTTTTGTTTACTACGTTTTAAAAGCAGAAGGTTTATACACAATACATAGGGTTTGTCAGAACCGCACGAGTTCTGACACACCCTGTATTCTATTATGGCAGTAAAATCAAACTTCAGCGCTTTGCCGATTGAGATCCCAATCGCGAGCTGATTGGGTGGCAAAAAATCGTTTAAATATGTTATAAGTTGACGTTTCTCTTGCGCCTTGAGCGTCGTAACGGAGTGAGGTTGACTTTCTGCATGTATTTGCTTCGTTGCGTTCCTCTACTTTGTAAACATTTACAGAGCATTTCGCAAAGTTTGACTCTGAATTAAGTTCAAGGAGGCAGCCAACTGTGCTTTCTGAGATTTCTCTTATTTAGGGCGTGACCCAGGTCCAATGTGATAACCCTGCAGAAGTTTGCAGACGTTCGTCACGACCTGAGCCGCGGTTTAGACACCTGCAGCTTTCGAAAAAAAAATCTATATCAATGGGATACTTAAGGAGCTTTCTGACATGTGTTTGTAGAGCGAGGAGCACCTCAGCTATTGTTCGCCGACCGAAATTTGGTCGAATCTCGAATAAAAACAACTTTTCGAACAATGGCAGTTCCTCTATTTACAATGGCTTTAATACAGGAACCTCTGCAACCAGCACACATATTGTTCCATTGTGTATTATTAAACTCGAGTCCGGTTTAAAAGTGATGTCCACATCGATTCCAAGACAAACTTTTCATCTTCTATTTCGATAAACATGTTTACACAAAAAACAAATTAAGTTTCGGCATCTAATTACCAGGAAAGGAGCTTCGGCGCTCCACTTAGGGTGCGCCTATTTTATTTGCTTCCTTTGGAGCGCGCGCGCGTTTTTCCTACCTTGATTGACGGCCGATTTCTGAAGAGGAAAGAAATGTTGTCATATTGAGTTTTTT